GACTCTTTAAGTGTCTGATAAGAAACATTTACAATGTAGTGTCTCTCTGAAGCCTGCTACCTGGAGGCTTCACCTACATGATAAAACCGTGGTCTCCACAACCCCTTATCTTAACCCAGACGTTCTTAAGTCTTTAGTCAATTAACAACTCTTTCATCCAACTCCCAATCAGAACATCTTTGAATCTAACTATGGCTACCCACTTCCAGTTGTCCCACCTTTCTGAACTGAACCAATGTACATCTTACATGTATTGATTGATCTCTTATGTCTCCCTAAAATGTATAAAACCAAGCTGTGATCTGACCACCTTGGGTCCATGTTCTCAGGATCTCCTGTGGGCTGTGTTTCAGAACATAGGTCACTCATATTTGGCTCAGAATAAATCTCTTTAAATATTTTACAGCATTTGACTCTTTTAGTCATCAAGGGTATTTCCAGCTGTCTAAATCTGTGACTGGAAGGCATGTCCCTGCCCTCAAAGAAAAATGGAAAGACCAGATTTACAGACAGCAAACAGCTGGAGAACAACTCTAGGCAGTACAGATGCCGGGGGTGACAGGGTTACACAGACACTGGCCATCTTCTACTGGTTCTCCTATAAGCCATGTTGAAATAGGCTAGAAATTCAACCTCCTCCCCTTTTTGTCCTCTGTACCTGCATCTCTGTTTAAAATTGTATCTCTTTACTCCAGAACTTTACCATTAAGGGCACTCAAGCCTGTTGGGGCAGCCTGGACCTAACAAGGCACATTGGGCATATCTATTCCTCTGTTCAATTCCTCCAGCTTTCTAGCTTTTAACCTGAGCACACCTCTTAGCCTCTGCTCCTGAGAGCCTGAGAGCAAAGCCGCTGAACACAAGACCACAACTTGCAACTCACAGAAGTCCAGAAATAGACTCAGCACACTGGAAAATACACACAGCATAGCACAGCGGGGTGTATATGATGTTGTACTGTGTGCCTCAATTGTAGATGTCTCAGCTGTCCTAAAATACATAGCCTCATCAGGTTTTCTGAGCCATAGGCATGGGCTTTGCTATGAAATTAAGAACTGGCAAAATGTGAACAGTAGCTGGATATCTGACATTGTCGCGGCAATATTATTATATTTTTAGTTGTGATAATGGTATTGAGGACATTTTTTAAAAAGAGTCCAGGCCGGGTATGGTGGCTCACACCTGTAATCCCAGCACTTTGAGAAGTCAAGGCGGGTGGATCACTTGAGGTCAGGAGTTCAAGAACAACCTGGCCAACATGGTGAGATCCCGTCTCTACTAAAAATACAAAAATTAGGGGTGTGGTGGTGCGCACCTGTAATCCCAGCTACTTGGGAGGCTGAGGGAAGAGAATCACTTGAACCTTGGAGGCAGAGGTTGCAGTGAGCTGAGATTACACCACTGCGCTCCAGCTGGGCAACACAGTGAGACTCTGGCTCAAAAAAAAAAAAGTTTTGTAAACTTTTAGAGGTTCACATAAAAATAATTTAGTGTTGAGGAGGAAGTGGGCTAGAGGAATGGGTGAAACAAGATTCAGGCTCAGAATCAGTAGATGTTGAATCTGAGTGCAAGCTACAAAGGAGTTTATATTATTTTCTCTACCTGTTTATGGATGTAAATTTTTCCATAATAAAATATTTTGTTAAAAAAGATCAGATCTGATTGAAGGAGAAACCAGAGTGGGGCAAAGGTATCCTTCAGAAGCTACGATGTGGGTAGCTGCAGAAGAGCTTTTCATTTTTCCCACAAAAGACCCAAGAGCTCTTTGACAAGTGAAGGGCCTTTGATTCTAGCAATTTGTTGAAAATCATCTCCACCATAAGACAAAGTCAGAACAATTATCCACAGCTTGAGATGTGTCCACATTTACACATTTATTTGGGTTTAGAGAGACAACACAGATAAAATACTTGGATCATACACAAGTTTATATTTAATAAGAAGAACAGGTTGCCACATGTCTGTATATTTTATGTTTTTATTTTTTTCTGTCTTTAGTAATGAAGTAATGTTGGGGGAATGCCGATGTCATTCAGAAACACCAATTTGGGAACGGTAGTTTGGCACACATAACTAATAAATACACAGTGTTTGCATTTAGCATTTGAAAACAGAAGAGCACGTGCAAGATGATACCCAGTTTGAGGTTCCTTGGTTCCCCATCCTGCTACTATATTTACACCTGCGCCTTCTTTGCCCATGTTCTGAAGAGTAACAACTACTCCACTGCCCAGCAGAGCCGACACCTGCAACTGGCAGCTGGTGCCGCTCCATGATTGGTAACGCCTATTCTCAGAGACAAAGTGGTGTTCACCTTGCATTTTGTGAAGTCACACAATTCTCAGAGGAAGTTTCTCAGTAGGGGGCTTAGCTGAGGGCATGTTCTCTATTAGAGCTGATGTGGAGGGCATATAGTTCAGGAAAGAGAGAGAAAGAGAGCAGGAACAGATGCCAATGGAGTTTTCATAATATCGAAGTTCAATATAGCTACCACACAGAAAAAGACATATCAATAATATATTGTACAAGCTTTTACAGAAACACATGTTGATTTGCAACACTGTACAGTTCAGATCTAAAGTGCACAACCCCAATCTGAGGTGACAAGACAGTATTATCAAGATAATAAAGGCAACACAGTCAGACACAATTGATTTCCTTTTCTTTCCTCACATCCTGTGATGGTTTATGAAGTTCATACCATGTATAGGTCTCAGATAAAGACATATCACACTTGTTTGTTCAAGTATTTGAAATGATAAACACAATATTGCTGTATAAATGAAAATGGCCATGTCAGTTCTGATTAAAGCTAAAACCAAGCTTTTCTAAGATTCATAAAGAATGGGCCCACAGAAAGACCATGTCACTGGGAATTTGGGCTAATGTTCAAAGTAATCTCCCTTCTTCCCTCCCTCCCTTCCTTTTTTTCTCCTTCCTTCCTTCCTTCCTTCCTCCCTTCCCTTCCTCCTTTCCTCCTTCTTCCTCCCTCCTTTCCTTGCTCCCTACTTCCTTCCTTCCTTCCTTCTTTCTCCTTCTTCCCTCCCTCTCTTCTAAGCAGATTACATACCTCCTTTCAAGACTATTTATTAAATTACTGGGACCTGGGCTTTTATTTGCTTCCTTCTTTGGGCTACAGTTGGTAAGGATTTCCTGCGCAGGCCTGAGCAAGGATCTCAGCCAATTTGAAGGAGTACTGGGCAGGGGTAGGGCAGTGGAGAAGAAGAGCTACTATTTTTGCTAGAATTTCGTACATAGGCACAAATTGTCCTTGAAAATTCTACCATCTCATTGACCTAAAAAGCAGCAGTTCATAATCTAGGATCTGTAACCCAAGAGATAAAGCATCCTGGAGTAGAGCAGGGTTGGTTCACCAGGGCATTGGGCCCCACTGTCTTCTCCAAGAAGGACAGCAGGTTGGATGAATTAGCATCTCTGCCTCTGAAGTGGGACCTTTGGGCCTGAGACTCAAGATAGTTGGGCAGCTATGTGTTTATTCTCAGCAGCTAGTTTTGAGAAAGGAAAGGGATGCTTAGCCATTAGACAAAGTCTAGAATGGAAGGTTATTCCTTCAGGAAATTCTGTGGCACAGATGAAAGACTTTACTTCTATTCATCATAGTGAACCCATTTGCTTTCTAGACAGAAAGGGTCCAAAGCCATGTTCATATCAAGTATCACTATTTTTGCATATAACATGGGAGAAATAACGTAGGGGCAAGCTTATGAAAATTTCAGATGGTTGGATCCTTTGATTATATTATAGGGCATTTCTACATGTTGAAGGGCAGGGCCTTCTCTCTTCCCTTGTATAACTGTAGTCTGAGTATTGAACTGCCTGGTCCATTCAGAAATGGAAAATGTTACTAAATTTGCATTTGCAGTCTTCATATGAATCTACTATTCTCCTGTCAGGACTTGGAATCTGACAATGTGTGACCCCATAAATATCTATGAAAGCTTTTGTTAGCTCATGTTTTTCTATCAGGTTCACAGGGAAAGAAGAATGTTTTAAAAATACTATTTCAAATTTTAAGGATCTTATTATTTCTGCATATTCTGGCCACTTTGGATCTCAATGAGAGATGGATAAAGGAAAACCTTAAGATAATGTCTCAAACTCTATGATGAGAAGCTCATTTAATGGAAGAAAAACAACTACCCATGGAATATAAATTAATTATTTTGATCTCAGTAGTAGGGAGTCTAGCAGGAGAGAGTTTGTGGGAAGGAATGGGGAGGGGATGGAATTAAACAGCTGCGCTGGAGGTAAACTTCTCTTTCTTGGAGAATATGCAATATGGCACCAGGATGATGCCATTATTGTCCCACAGAGATTTCTTCTCCTAAGGCCAACTTTAATTTTCTGGGCTTACCACATTCTGGGAGTGTGCCTCATTCCTCTTTGCTCAGGCTGCTTAGATTTTATTTTTATTTTCTCTAATTAATTCAAATGCCCTAATAAAAGAATACTATTTGGAAGATGCCTCAAGAATGAGAATCAACCTTCTGTTCAAAACAGGCCAAATTGGAAAGCAGAATAGAGACAATTACCCTAATTTAATCTGAGATAAATCTTGTCACGCTTACAGAGTGAGTCCATTAAGAGTAAACTGCATGGAAAACTTAAAGGGGAAGAGATTCGTATTGCCAATTGGATCAATTATTTTAAAGAACTTGCAGTATTCTTTTCTGTTTGTCTTGAAATACTAACTTTAGAGATGTGATAAGCCATAACGTGTAGAAAGAAGGAATCTTATCTTTTAAGAATTTTGTGGGTCAATGTTTCAAAATAACTTTGTTAAGTGTTTTCTTGTGCCTCCATTAAGAGAAAGGAAAAAAAAATCTGGCTTAGTTTTTATATCTGCCCCTGCAGTTTGTATAACCCATATAAAATAAAAATCTATATGTTACAAAATAGGATATCTTTTTTAATATATATATTTTCCTTTTGTAAAATTATATGTATTTAAATACATTTGAAATGTTGCTATAGGTAAATTAGAAATTTTTTTCTAATACTATGAAAAAGGCAAGAGTTTTTATTGTCAACATACATTTTATATTTACTTTATCCTTTTCACTGTACCCCAAAGAACCTTTTATGATTCAGGGGCAATTTGGCACTATTCAGTCCTACTAGTCTGAAGTGAAAATAAAGTTTGCTTTGCACACTATATTAAAAGTAAGGGAAGTATTTATAATAATTTTAAGCTTTTCCTTATTGATTAGAACACAGCCTTTTGTCACTAATTCTTAGAGAGGTATTCTAAACTTAAGAAAGGATTTTTAAAAGGAGCAATGTCTTTTTTGATTGATTTTTAAACTCTACTGTATTTTGACACCACAATATAGAAATAGATTTACTTTGGAACAAACTACAAATACATTCACACAGTTTGTGACAACTTAATTGTCTACCTAGAGAAGTGGAACAGCTTGGTGAGCTAGGTTATTATAAATCTTGTCCAAGGCGTTCTATTTCTTCAATCAGGAAGTCAATGTCTTGGTGGGTCGCTGCGGGGTTTGAGATGACCATGCGGAAGAAATTGACCTTGTCTCCCAAGGGTTGGTAGCTGACCATTGTGGTTCCATACTCCATCATTCTGGCTTTAATCACTGGAGCCACCTGTGGTGTGGGACAGACCATATTAGCGTGATGACTTTCCCCTGGGGTTCTACCCTGAGCCAAATAACCCAACAGCAAGCAGAGTCTTCAGTCTTTAGCTCAACAGTCAGAACCTTACTTGTTTTCTCTTGAAAGAGTTACCCCCAAGTTTTCTTGGAATCAGAGAACTAGAACAGTTTAACACATTCAAGATCCTGCAAATGATAAGAGGAATAATAAATGATAGACTATCAGGTGACTGCCACCTTGTCTTTGACTTTCCAGTTTGTGTTTTGGGTGGATGGGATGAATCCTGCATTGGCCCCAAGGCTAAATGGTTTAGCAAGACGTTTGGGGGCATTTTTCCCCAATAGGAAAGGTAAAACCATTGGAAATAAAACAGTTCAGAGGATTGCTATCAAAATGTAAGTTTTAGTATCCGGTGATATATGAAGATAAGCAGACTTTTGACAACTTTCTTGAAATCCTGAAGTTTTCTAGTTTCTTTTCATTCTCTTTTTGCAGTGCCTCACTTTGTATTTTGAAAGATATTTCTTAATAATAATGACGAATCAGCTGGGACAAAAAGCTGAACCTACAAGGACTTATCATATGTTGCATATCACAGAGAGGATAGCATACTGTGGACAAGATTATGCTCTATTTATGCCAGCTTGTTGATTATAGCCTCAGTAGTTCTCTATTGTATATGAAATTAAGCTTAAACTCTAGTTCAATGCAAAGACCTGTCATCACCCATTTCTGAGGGCTCATCTTCCACAACATGCCAAAATGAATCTTCAACTCTGACAAGACTCCTTTATTAAATATCTCTTGAATTTACCATACATATTTTTATCCCTTCACACTTGTCCTCAGTGTTACCATGTCAGACTTGTTCTCTGTGCTTAGAATCCATCCCTTTTCTCTTCCAGTTCATATCCTACTTCAAGATTCCACTACAGTCCTACAGCTGCTATGAAGCCTTTCCTGACGTCTAGTGGCCATCAGTAGCTCTCTTCTTTTAAGCTGTAAACATATGATCCACGATCCTTCCCCATGGACTCTGACTATATGCTAATTTTCTACTATCCTCTTATTTCTGAGCAAATACATTTTCTTTCTCTACTTCAACTATCACGTCCTGGAGAGCAGACACAGTGTCTTCTACTTTTCTGTTGTTTGTTTACTAGCAGTGCTGGGTACGTGTTGGAGGATTTCTAAATTCTTATTGCTATAAAGAGTAGGATAATAGAAACAGCTACCTAGGCAGAGGCAAAAACTTAAATCATGTCTAACCATACATACAATCTGTCCACATATATTTACCACTGGACTTTGTAAATATAGTATATCTGATCTTCATTGCTGCAAATACCTACCAGGAATGGTAGACATCAGAAAAACTTTAGACTTATTTAAGTTACATATGGTCAGAAACGCAGTTCAAAATGGAGACTATACCTTATATCACAGCTGGATTTATCTTAAATGAAGGACAGTTTGATTCAAATGGAATGCTGTTAGGAACATGTGACTTATAAATATCAACTCTTAAATAATTGGTTTATAATGAAGTTTTCCTTTTCAAAATATTCAATGCATAAAATCAGCAAAGTTCCCAGGTCCAATTATTTGTTAGTTACCAAAGGCAAAGTTAACACATAGACTTCACCTTTACCTTCACTTCTCATTCTGAACCTAATTTCCTTATCTAAAAATGATGTGGATGATGATTCCAACACTGAGATTTTTAAATTCTAGGTTAAGTTCTTATATCCCTTCCCACCCCTTGTTCCATGGGGAGGAGTGTTTCTCTTGGACTTATCCTTCTTTCACTTAAAGCATTAAGAATGCATGCAGAGCACTGGGCTCATCCCAGGGGATAAATAAGAAGAATAATTTAAATATCTCAAGTCTGAGATTAACCTCTGAAAATAAACCTACTAGACTACTCCAGCCAAAGGGGCACGAAATTTATCCTTTGTGTTGCAAGGCATGTCAAGTCAATGTGATTCTTTCGAAGAGAAATCTCAAATTAGAAAAGGAATTCCAAATTCACTTGGATGCAGGAATTTAAGGACAAGTCACATAACTATTCCTTAGTTTTATTTGCATAATAAATCATTCTTGCTCTTTAGAACTGATAATGACAGAGCTTTACTCAGTAAATTAAACTCTCATTTAGTTTTCATGGGCAATCTAAGCAAAAATACAGAAGAATGGCACTAATTATTAAGGATAATCATCTGAAGCTTTTCAGATGAATGCAAATCAAAGGTTAAAAGATTAATGCTAACGGCCACAACCAAACATATTTTGGCATAAAGTAAGATTGAATTCCCTCAGTTCCTGAAGCAAGCTGAATTGGCAGAAATCACAGCTGTCTAAATACATATGACTTTTGGTTGCTTCCAGAAAATGCTGATGAACTAAAATTAGCTGGAACATAGAACATCTACTTTATTGTATATGCATTCATTGCAAGTTAAGAAGGAAAATAAGATTCGGACTATTCTGATGAACATATGTGATCTGTGAGACCAAAATAGAGACTCCCATAGCAACTAAGATGGACCTCAAGGTTAAAGAAACAAAGTTACTTACAGGTCCAGGGTTCAGGGCCTGGCTGGAGGGCAAATTACTAAATTCCTAATGATTGAAATTCCCTAACAATATGTGCTATGAAACCCCTCCTCGCCCTCATTTACTACCCAGACTGACAGAAGGCTGACCTTACACACATTATTTCCTGGTAAGCAACTGCAGAACTTAAGCTCGTTTTAGCAGCTTATAGACACAGGCACAAACTGTGTTTATGTCCTACAGTTCACCTTTTGATGTAAAGAGCCAAATTCCACCTCATTTTAACACTAAAACCCTTCCCTGAAGTAAACATCAGATACATGTTACACATATGTTTACTCATGGCATATGTGCTTAGCTCCCCTCATAAATATGGATAGCTTTCCCCCCAAAACCTACTGAATATGTATGACTCTACTGTGTGATACAGGCCCTGTGAGGCATAAAACCCAACCTGCCCTTTCCCTCTTGGAAGGGAGGGCACCTTCTGCACATGCTGGAGGCTGTCTCTTCCCAGTTTGCAAATTGATATCATCAATAAAGCTCTCCTTTCTACTATTTAGACATTTCGGTGGTCTTTTGGATGACATACATAGAGATTTCACTAATTTCTAGGCTTTTGTATTTTTTGGTTGGATTCTTAGTTTTCCTAAATAAAGAAGGGTAGTTGAGAAAGAGTGGTTGCATGTTGAAGAATTCACTAAAGGCAGAGTCGACAAGAGCTCCTTGGGGCTGCCTTAAGAGTTTTAGGGTACTGTCTTCTCTCTTGTGGCATTAGCTTTTTCAGTCCTTTAGAAAACAATAACCAGGGGACTCTTCCAGAATTGGAATCCACATTTGTATCTTTCCAAGAGGGTGCATAGTAAAGCATCATGAAATAAACTTAAAATATATCACAGAAATGTATTTTTCACTATGTCTTAGAAAACCTCTTTATTTTTACATTTTGGAAGACTGTGAGAAATTTTTGAAAAATGTAAAAGCAGAATAATTAAATGAGAAATTCTAAACTATTGGCCAGGCTTAGTGGTTCACACCTGTAATTGCAGCACTTTGGGAGGCTGAGGTGGGTGGATCACTTGAGGTCAGGAGTTCAAGACCAGCCTGGCCAACATGGTGAAACCCTGTCCCATCTCTGTCTCTACCAAAAAAATATAAAAATTAGCTGGATGTGGTGACAGGCGCCTGTAATCCCAGCTACTCAGGAGGTTAAGGTGGGAGAATCCCTTGAATCTGAAAGGTGGAGGTTGTAGTGAGCCGAGATGGCACCACTGTACTCCAGCCTGGGCAGCAGAGTGAGACCCTGTCTTAAATAAAGTTCTAAAATACTAAAATTTCTATTACACTTAATAACACAGACTTTCAAAGAGTCTGTGTTAAATATAAGGCCAGACTATTTTCTTACAAATTTAGTATTAAATCCACTGCTAACCTTTTAGAAGTCCATGAATCAGTATAGGGCTCCAAAAGCTGACAGAACCAGATAGTGATCAAGAATAATGAAAATTAAAAGAAGAAGATGAAGAATCAGAAACACAAGAGGTGATCAACAGACCAGCCCTTTTGATTCGTGTTTGGTAAACACTGGTACAGCCTACTTGCTGCCACTCCCTGTGTCTAAGGCACGGGTGTGGGGTCACATGCCCATACTGCCCCATGCATTCATCATCTACACTGTCTCAGGAACAAAGTGCCACCTGCAAGATACTAGTCCTGACTGGGTTGCAGGAAGCACACTGACTGGATTCTCGTCTTTACCACCCTCATGAAGCTATGACTATGTTTGCTTTATTAATAACTTCTGTTATCTAGATATTTGTCCCCAAGCTAGTGCACTCTGGGAAAAGGCCTATGATCCACTATCAGGTTTCCTAAATGTTGTTTCCCTTCCTTATTCTGCAATATGCCTAAGATATTTACTATAGATGGAATTTTTGTGTCCTTCCAAAATTTGTATGTTGAAATCTTAACCCCTCAATGTGATGGTTTTAGGAGGTAGGGCCTTTGGTAGGTGATTAGGTCAGGAAGGCACAGTCTTAGAGACCCCAGAGAGCTCCCTTGCCCTCTTTCTGCCATGTGAGGATACAGTGGGAAAAAGGCCATTGATGAACTAGAAAGTGGGCCTTCTACCAGATGTGGAATCTACCGGCACTGTGATCTTGGACTTCCCAGCCTCTAGAACTGTGGAAATAAATTTCTGTGTTTATAAGCTACCCACTCTATATTAGTTTTTTGCAGCCCAACCAGACTAAGATAGAATTTTAGCTCAACAAATGATTTTTGAGTTCCTATTGTATGCTACAGCTATGAATCAGGCAAGATGGTACAAAGAGTAATTCTCTGCCTTGTCTTGTCCAGAATTTAACATTGTTCTTTTGTTTCCCATAAACAGCACAGAGAACTCCACATTTCCCCCCATTTTGGATCTATATCAGCATGGACCAAGAGAACTCTGTGCAGTGATGGACATGTTCTATAACTGCACTATTCCATACAATGCCACTGGTCACAAGTCAAGCAACTGAAATGTGGCTAGTGTGATTCAAGAACCAAATTTTTAGTTCAATTTAATTTTAATGGATTTAAATAAATATGAATAGCCACATGTGGCTATTGGTACCATATTAGACAGCACAGATTATTTCCTCAGCTGTTTTCCTTCTGAGACTCGTGTGTGTGTGTGTGTGTGTGTGTGTGTGTGTGTGTGTGAATATTCTATACTGGTTCCTGGACATTATACATTAAGGGCTTTACACTTAATAAAGAACTTTCCAGAAAGCCTAAAAACGTCATTGGCATAGATGAACAAAAGTTAAACTTGGTATTCATGTGGTTCTATTTTCATTTCCAAATCTGAATTGCTGAATTCTCTTGATTACAATAATAAAAAATGGAGAAAAATCAGGAGAATTCATTTTGCAATCCCCGGAGACTTTTATATTTGAATTGTCAACAACATAAAAACAGTTTGCTAATATTAAAATTGCCATCTCCAGGAAATAATCTCCATTTCCATTCCTCATTACAGCTCATATGAGGTGCTGAAACCCAGGAGGCATTTAAAGAGTGATATTTAAATGGGGGAGCCTCCGAGTTGACTTTTGTTCAGAAAATAAAGAAAAAAAGTTTTCATTCTGTATTCCCATCTTGTTCTATCCCTCAGCCCAGTGATAATGGACTGATTCAACAAATGAAATCAGCCAAACTAGTCCATGGATTATCTTTCTGGTCAGTTCAATAACGAAGTGCAAGGCAAAAAGAATGGAAGCATCTAATTTCTAGCTAACAGGTTAAATAAAATTAGTCAATGTTAATACATTTTACATTATGAAGGCATACCATAAAAATTTCAGAAAAAATGTGAATTCTTTCCTCTCAAATGACAGCAGATGCCCGCAGCCCCTATGCTCCTTGTTACTGCCGCACTGAGCATCTCATCCAATACCACCTCTATGCCTTCCCTCCCATCTCGTGAGTTTGCTTTTCCTGGAATGAACCTACTCCACTAAATCATCCAACACAACCATAGCCCCTTCCACCCAGACCCAGTTCTAGAAGCACCACAGATCCTGGTTCTTCCATTTTTTCCTCTAGGTCACGGGTTCTGTAGCTGAGCTGCACATTGGAATCATCTAGATAACTTTCAGAATCATTCCCAGGCCCATCCAAGCACAGTCTGATTACATCTTCAGGGTGAGACCTGGTCACTTTTGTCTTTTATAAAGTTTCTGGATGATTCTAATGTATGGCCAGGATTGTGAATCACTTCTCTAATTAGGAGGCTTGGTTTAAAGACCTCAACCATGTGTAAATTGCCTCCTAATGAGGAGTTTGATCCTGGGTGCTTAAGGGCAAACGTTAACAGTTAAAAACTAGTGAAGGCTTTAAATTTACACAAAATCTTCTTCTTCATTTTACATAGAAGGAAATAAAGTGTTCCCAAAGGTCAGTGAGCAGCCTAAGCTCTTGAGCGGAGGTCAGACAGCCTGCGGGGCTCCTGGCAGTGACTAGAGGAGGTTCCGTCTTTCATGATAAATGAAAGGAACCCCCAAATCAACCAATCAGTTCTGAGCTCCAATTCTACATGATCATCCTTAGTTTCCCATGGGGGACAGGTCCTGCATATACCCCGCTTCAATGTGTATTGTAAACCATATTTCACTCATGTGTAAGTGCTGGGAGCAGGAGAGGATGAAAGGTCTTAAAGGGTGTCTTACTGACCACAGTACAACTTAAAGCTCAAGCCCTCAGGCTCTGGAGGCACACTTTCTATGAGGTTTTGGGAGTTACTTCTTCTCCCTGCGCATCAGTATCCCCATCAGCAAGATGGGTGGACAGTCCTTCCCATGTCAGGTTACTCTGAGGCTCTAAGTGACCTAAAGCCTGATACCGAGAAGGGACACAATACACACTCCAAACAGTGGCTGTTATTATTGCTCTTTGCCCTCCTACTTTTTGGGGGTCACCAACAGCTCCAAGAACCCTTCAGGGTAGCCTTGATCTTGGCAGCTCAAGAGGGTCAGCAGCAGTATTTTTGCTAACCATTTCTGGTACCTGGAGTCTCTTTTGTGCTTGTAACTGAGCACTAGTTTCACTTGGAAGATCAGAGAACTTCAGCAACGTTCTTGCTGCTTTGTGAATGCCAACAAAGGATATCACCTGACTACTTCTTTTAAGACATCATAAACTCACTCTCAGAAAACAAGCAAATAGAATTGTTAAAAGTCTGCATAGGCCAGGTGCGGTGGCTCACGTCTGTAATTCCAGCACTTTGGGAGGCTGAAGTGGGCAGATCACCTGAAGTCAGGAGTTGGAGACCAGCCTGGCCAACATATTGAAACCCTGTCTCTACTAAAAATACAAAAATTAGCTGGGCATCGTGGTGGGCACCTGTAATCCCAGCTACTCTGGAGGCTGAGGCAGGAAAGTCACTTAAATCCAGGAGGTGGAGGTTGCAGTGAGCCGAGATCACGCCACTGCACTCCAGCTTGGGCGATAAGAGTGAGACTCTGTCTCAAAAAAAAGTCTGCATATATCAAGCTCTATACATCCTAGGTCTGTGGGAGCCCACACAAGGGAGTGGGTCCATGCACCCAGATGGGATTTCTCCTAAGGCCACAGGCATATGTCATAAAGAAAATATGCACGTGAAAGGCTCAATACACACAGGTATCAGAGGAGCTTGGAGCACTGACCTTTGAAAGGCGACTCATTCTCTCTTCATTGTCTTCCAGAGTACGCAAGCTCGGAGGAACGTACCAGAAGCAGACATTTGTGTGCTGAGGCTACAGAAAGGAAAGGAGGATTCACATGTGGCCCAGGCTGGCAATTTTGAAAATTCCAAGGACATTTCAAATAGATAGATATATTCAGCAGGTTCAGAACACAATCCCCACTTTCCAATCAGGCATTGCCTTTGGATGGCTTGATTTTGACATTATATGGACTACTTGGTGAGTTTGATCTTTTTTCCAGCTCATAACAGCTACCCCATCATCCACTGCTCCCCTTTGTGATGGTCCCACTTACCTGGACAGCACATCATTTACATCGAAACATATCAGCGATGAGAATTGGAATTGACTAAACTTTCTGGGATCCTAGAAATCCGAGTACATACCTTCCCGTCAAACACCATCTCATATCCTTCTCGGTTTTTTATGATGTTGTATAAATACTCTGCCAACTCCAAACACTTATCAACATGCGCTTCAAACCCGGTAGTCCCCTAGGTAAGAAAGGACACGCTCATTAGGCAGGCTGAGAGGGTGGAGGAAGCAATTTCCCTGGAGACTCATGGTCATCCTGCTGCCTCCTTCTCAGCCCGTCTGGCACTTTCCTGACACAAGCTTGCATGTTCTTCACATGGACCGCAAAACCTAAAATGCAATTTAAAAAAAAAGAAAGGAAGAAAGGGAAAAAAAGACTGTGTCCATAGGCTTTTTCAGCGCGCTTTTCTCTTCAATGCTCTCCCTGTCTGGTGCTTTCATTCCCTTTCATTACTGCTTTCTACATGGCAGTCCTTTTCTTCCAGAGCTTCCATTCCCCAGGCAATTATTTTGATTACTCAAGGAGAAAATGTGCCTCTGCTATTCATAGGAGTAATCATGGAAGTCATTAATAACAGGAGGACTGGGCTACTCTCTCTCTTCCTGCAGATAAAAAGCATCACCAGAGACACCTCCTCCCCAGAATGCCCGCTTAGTCCCCCTCCAACCTGTACATTTTCCATTTCCAGAGTCCATTTTTGTTTGCCAGTTTACCTGATACGGAACAAATTGAGTAGCTGCTTAATGAATTCGTTGAACAAATGGATACAGGAATTTTAGGGAGCACTCAGATGCTTTGTTAGCTTGTCAAGCTCTGTAGAGTTACCCTTGGGGGCAAATAAATGACTCATGTCTGTAATGGGTGAACATTATCATGGAGGCCTTTTAGTTTCTGGCTCTGGAAGCCCTGGATCCAGACTTAGGAAAACTAATAAAAGAGTCTGTACTGGAGCTGTTTAAGTGACATCAGGACACACAAGAGAGCTGCCTTTCAAAATGGCTTTCCTCTTACCTCCTTGGATGTTTAGTGGGTGCTGATGGAGAAAGCTTAGAGAAAAAGCCAATGCTCATCCCAGAACTTTGAACCTGCCTGCCAGTAACTCCTCCAGCAGGGAAACTAGAGAAAGCAATTATAATAGATGAGATGGGCCCACTTGCCTGTTTCACATAAGATCACATCATCTCAGCTACGGGGGCCCAGCATAGCCCAGTGACTTGCGACATCTGAAGCAGGTTTAAGAACAAGCTGCCCTGGAGAAATCAAATGGATTCAGAAATTCACTTATTTAGAGACCGCTGCCCCGGCTGATCAGCTCAAGGAGGCTGATGGGTTCCTGATGCCTCCCCAGGAAGGACTTGGGCTGATGCCTGATGCTTGGCCAGCACCCATATCAGAAGTTCTGTGCATCTGTGGGTGCTAAGGAGATTAGAATTGGTTTGGACTGGCCTGACAGTTTGAGTTCACTTGGGATGGACTGTAGGTAGAACAGAGGGAGGCTAATTGCTCTTCTCCAACCTGGATCCTTTGGGCCAGTCTGGAGTTGGGTTTAAACTTTTGCATATCTCATCTAGGATATGGTGGACCAGTCTGACTCTGACCCTGTCCAGTTGAATGGCCTTGGCTAATCTGTCTGGCCAGATGGGAATGAGGATGTCTTTCTGCTTTCCCATGAAGAAAAGTTTACACTGTAATGGCAATGGAATTGCCAAAGACCAGAGTATGAGACCTCTGGTTCCCCTGGTCTGGGACCTCGCTATGGGGATGATCATGGGCCATGTGATTGCCCCTTTAGTTGGGGGCTAAAGACATACAAGGGGCCAAAGACACAGAAAACTCTAGTGTGCCCTGGATGCCTCCTGTTCATGTTGAATATTTATGGGAATAAGATCCACATTTTATTTTCAAGGTTTTGAAGGCTTTTAGAAGATTCTTCAAAATTCTTTCATTCATTAAATACTTTCACATTCTTTTTTTTTTTTTTTTTTGAGACGGAGTTTCGCTCTTGTTACCCAGGCTGGAGTGCAATGGCACGATCTCGGCTCACGGCAACCTCCGCCTCCTGGGTTCAGGCAATTCTCCTGCCTCAGCTTCCTGAGTAGCTGGGATTACAGGCACGCACCACCATGCCCAGCTAATTTTTTGTATTTTTAGTAGAGACGGGGTTTCACCATGTTGACCAGGATGGTCTCGATCTCTCGACCTCGTGATCCACCCGCCTCGGCCTCCCAAAGTGCTGGGATTACAGGCTTGAGCCACCGCGCCCGGCACCACATTCTTTAAATCATATGCCACACAGCTCTTACTGTGAGAATGACAGATGCACATGTGAAATTTTATCAAGGAACATGTCCCCATAGCCTGAACCACTGTGGAGGATGCTGGAGGCTCGGACAGGCACTTCTAAGTGAAAGGCTGGACCCCAGTGTCAAGCTTCCACTAGGGGAGTTTCTGGGGAAAGATGGTTTTATTTAACGCCTCCTGACCCACACATGTAGGACTGATTTAGTCTGACCTGGCTGCAACACATACAGCTAGTGCTCGACTTACGACCAGGATTGGATCTGACAGACCAGTCATAACACGATTTGGTCGTAAGTTGAGTAGGCTATATATACAGCACTGTGAAATGATGTTATAAAAATCTTTAAGTCATATTTTATCATAATTTTCTTTCATTGTTATATATCATAATTTTCTTTGTTCATTTTATGCCATTTGTATCATCTCTACACCATTTTGCTTCTTATTTTTACATTCGTCAGGTTTAAGTAAAACACTGCATTACCAGTACAACTGGTTTAATATTTGCAAAACATACAAAATTACAAAATACAGGTGCATACAAAAATGCAAAATACAGGTGTAAAAAATACCATAGGAAACATTTTCCCAATTGCAAAACATATCAAAATATATAAACATGTACGAAACATTTTATTGGCCGCTGGTGCTTGGCTGCGGATCGTTGATGTTGTCATCTGAGGCAGCAGTTGGAGTTACCGGAGTTGGTTTTTTCATAAACATGGTGAGCTTTGTCTGAATTGTATGTTTCGTTTTTTCTTCATAAATTTCACTATATGGAAGAAACACATCTTGCGCCATCTGTTTAATCCTTGCAAATTTTTCGATGTTTGGGTTCATTGCTTCAAAATGTATACGAAGTTTATTCAGTCAAGATAAACCGTCTGATAATCCCTTAGTGGTGAACTTTCTTTCTGGCTCCTCCTCTTCTTTCTCTGCTTCTCTTCTTTCTTCTTCCGCCACTCTTTCTTCTTCCAGTTCGATTAGCTCTTCATTTGTAAGTTCATCGACATTGAAAATCTGTTCTGCTAGATATCCCTCATCTGTAATTAATTCATCCAGACTATCAACAAACTTACGTGCTCCTTCCTCATCCGCACTCGCTGCTTCTCCAGTCACTTGGACACTATGCATTTGGAATCTTTTCTTGAATCTCTGGAACCAGTCAGTGCTTGCTACAAATTCTTGACTGTAATCTTCTCCAGACTGTAATCTTCTCCTTCAGAGTCTGAAATAGACTTCCTGCCTTCATCTGCACAGTAAAAAGACTTAATGGTGTCCGTTTTTGAATTTGATCGTCTGTCCAAATATATAGCAATTTCTCCATTTCGTGGATGGGCCTGCTTCATTGCTTTGTTATAACCGTTGATCTCATGGGTGCAGAACCTTTCACAGCTTCATGAATTCTTTATCTTTCAAAATCATCTACACAGTCGAGTGTGATAACTTCGTATCACGTGCGATCACATTCACTTTCTTTCCTCCTTCGTACTGCTTAATTACCTTCATTTTTGTGTCGAGATTGATGGCCTTTCTTTCCTTCTTGGCAGGCTGAGGCATAGACAAAGACAATTTCCTCTTGGTAGACATCTTGGGAGGGGTTTGATGAAAAATATCCAAGACACAAAACACAAATTGCTGTACCGAGTCTGGGATAACAGTTGAAACGGTGCACGCGGAGATGGTAGTGCTGCTGGAAGCTGGTCCACACTGTCATAAGCCCAGCTGGACAACGTTTGCACTGCCAGACGTGGAGCAGTCGTGGCTAGCGATTGTGGTTGTAAAGTCGAATGGTCGTAAGTTGCATAGGTCATAAGTCGATCAATACCTGTACTCCATGAGGGCACAGGTTTATGTTTCTTTTGTTCACTGTTAAATCCTCCACATTCTGAGCAGTGCTGAGCGCATATTAGGTGCTCAATGTACATTTGCTGAATGAATAAGTGAATAACTTTGAAGCATTTTACAAAGTTAAAGAAATGATCTGAGGAATGATCTATATCAGAACCAGATTATTTGTATTAAAAATGTAGATCCTTAAGCCGCACCTCAGACTCCCAAACCAGAATTTTAGGAAGATGAACAATGTTTATGTGGTCTTCATCAATCTCACTGTCCAAGTGTTCAGCTGCTGCCTCCATGTGGTCTTGAGGCTTGACATCTTGAGAGTTGGTCATGATCATTCTCTGCTTCTTGAAATGCTTTTACAAACATTCTCAGGCCCCAGAGATGGTGCTTCTGAAATAACTACTGAATCCCTTGCTGTTATCTCAATTTTTGCTGCCACCACCCTAGTTCAGGCTCTGTTACTTTTCACCTGTAATGTAGCTTCCAAGTCTTCCTTCAGTCAATTAGACTCTTCGCTACTCTCAGAATATGCACTGAACTACCACTCAACCACTCCTTTGAATAGCCTTCTCACGGCACTGCTGGGTGAAATCCTGCTTCTTCTACCTATCCTGTTCAAATCCCATCTCAAAGGTTATCTCTTTGTGAATCGTCTCAATTCTTAAACTTGGAAAGAGCTCTCCACCCTTCAAATTCCCCAGATGTGTGTGGATTTCTTTTATGATGGATTTCTGTGTATTTATCTTATCCTGTCTGGAAAACGAGAGCCTCCTCATCCCATTCAGTACTAAGCATGATAATAGGTGGTCAATATCTACTTATTAAAATAATATTTTAGAGAGAAAGTGAACATTCAACCATTTTCAGCAAAGGATGCCAAGTGTCCATTTCCCTTTAATAATTGTTTCCAGATATTTTTTATTCCTCAGCCATTTGCCAGTCCATCTGTTATGCACATTTTTAATTAGAAAAGCTAATCATAAACACACACATGCACACACATGCACACACACACACACACACACATACACATACACACAAGGAAATCTGCCAATTTGTGATCACTACATACAAACACAGAGATTTGCTATGAAACCTTGGCTGTTTTAAATGAAGCCATTCCTGTAGGCCTACAAAGGGAACGTAGGAGAATTTCTTGAACCTGGGAGATGGAGGTTGCAGTGAGCTGAGATTGCATCACTGCACTTATGCCTAGGCAACAGAGTGAGACTCCATCTCAAAGAAAAGGCCGGGTAGAGGGGATGTGATTTTAAGTTTATTTACTTATTTTTGACAGCCACTGGGTTTTAGCCACTGCAGGAATCTGTCAACATTGGAACATAATCATTAGGTCCTAGGATTATAAAATAAAATGGAGACAAAATGAAAGGCCAACTCTGTAAGAAGAGAGCTGAGGTTAGGCACTGGGCCTCTGCTGATGATAAACATCTGTATCTTAACCATCTAATATGCTTCTTAGCATTCCAAATCAGGGGTCTTATTTTTTACATAAATTTGTTCTAATCAAGTTAATTTGGATTTAATATGATGGCTGTCATCACTGCATTTAGCTCCATTAGCAATTAACAGATTAATTCAAAGAATAATAACTTATACTTAGGCTATTTTTCATGGAGTTTATCTTAGGAGAAAACGTGGAAAACACCAAATTCTCCAGGCATGTCTGATAACAGAGGGTTTACTGAATTCATGCTATCTTCTTCTTCCTCCTTCTCCTTACTCTTTTCCAGGTTGTTTCCTCATTCCTGTGGGGAGGCAAGTTACAACATCACAGACAACTCCTTCATGGCTCTTCTTGTGTGAAGAGGATGATTTCTTCCTTGGCTGGCATGGCTAGAGAGAGCTTTGATGTGAGAGTACAATTATCCTCACCTTTGATCTAGATTGTAGGACTGAGCTTATTACTTTAATAATGATTATTTCATTTTTCAAAAAAAAAATATGAAGGTTTAGATTGAAAGTCAACCAGAAGTTTTTGCTGTTTAGATGTCTAGATACTGGAGGTGTTTCCACAAGGAAGTAAAAGAATAAGTAATGCAGTGACTGTGATTTCCTCTTTTCATCCCCTTTCCTGGTGCCTTCATGAGGCCCTTTCTTTTATTTCAGGCTTCATCTGGTCCTGCTGTTCCATTCACACCTGATGCCCTCCATGTTCTTTCACTAAAAACCCACGCTGCCCTCTGCTGGAGAGGAGGCTTCAGATGGAAAGGGAGCAGCAGAAACTGACAAACCATGAGAGAAACATTTTCATGTAAACATTGCTGATGATCATTATCTTAATAAAAACACCACAGGGAGAAAAAGACACAAAGAATATTACCTAAAGTAAGAGGGAACGTGTACAATATTCAGAGATCAAGGTTTCCTCAGCTTGCTACCTGATATTTATATTCATCATCTTGTAATTCCCGCCAATCAATGAAATGAAAAACCTGCTCATTTTAAAGTGGCTTGGAGGCTCATTTATAGAAATACATAAAGCAGCTCAGAGGTACATTTATATTCTTGATTGATTTTTTTTTTTTTTCCAAAGGAAAGTGTCATTGCTGGCAGAATGAGTCTCCCATTGGTTGGTGAGGACCAGGTACCTGTCCTTGTTGGGCTATCACTTTTCAAAAGAGGAAGGGGGATCATCACCCCACCATTACTGGGCAAAACAGTGGAGCTTCACTTCATGTAAAGCTCCTGATATTTAGCTTCATGTAGCTGCCTGATATTTAGCAACATGTAAAGATAGTTCAGCTGCGGTTAACACTATTAAGGAGGCTTGCCTGAAAGATGTACAGTCCAGCCATCCCTGGAAACCACCCAAGAGTTATTTCTTCATTAAGCAAGATCATCTTTATGTTTAAACTGCATCTTTTTACCAGAATGGACTTAAAGGAGATTCTATAAAATACCTTTGGATTGCTTTGCTTCACTTCAGAACTCCCTCTTTTCCTTTTTAAGGACCTGGTCATCTAAACCGCTTAAAGTAATTTAGGTTACTTTAAAAAAATTATATGAAGGCATAAGGAATTCATTGCCATGGACATGGTTCCTACTTTTTTACACATACTTCAGCAAGAATCCATTAGCTGGTCTTATCCTGGTATACTTCACTCCTACTGACCAAGCTATTTGCTTTTTCTTGTGGGACTGAGCATGTTACCTCTTTAAGTAGGTGATTTACACATTTTAGAGCCAAATGTATATCCTTTCCACCAAACATAAAGGACCTCACCATATCCCAGCTTTCCCTTGTGAACGTTGTTAGAATCCAAATGGAGGCGCTAATGTCAAGAAAACCCTGATAGATGGAGCCAGGGAAAACCAGGAAGAGTGGGTTCTCACGCCTTGTATACTGTATAACAAAAACTATCACAGAAGACTGCAAAAATTACAACCTTGCTCGAAGGCTACCACAGCCTTACACATGCACAAAAATACTTCTGCAGGAACATTTGCCTACTGATCACCTATCCAGTGTTGGATTGGCCTCAGCCTTGTTATTGATCTTTGTAGCCAAAAATATTTATCTCAAAACAATTAGGTAATCTCCCTCATTTCTTCCTTTAAAGACTTTTGTTTTCCTTTACCTCCTTTGGGTATGCACCGAGTTTATACTATGGCATATGTATTCCCATTGCAATGCTTTATTTCCAAATCAACATCTTTTCTTTTGGAGAGCCTCTCTCTGTTATTTAGGTTGACATTTTTAATTGCTCCCTTTCTTATGACAGATTTCCTTGAATCCTTTTTTTGCACTGGGGTTTCTATAGTATATACAGCTGGCTCTGTCCATTGCCTCCTGCAGGAGATAAATGAAGCTGGACGGGCAGGCACTAATTTGCGACCTTTAAGTTAAGAATCTGGTCAAAATTAAAAACAAAATCTTTGACCTTTCCAGCCTGCTTATATTAAACATAAATGTAGGCTCCTGGAAGGCTACAATTAGATCCAGCAAGTCCTGCACACTGTTAGTAAGTTTTCCTTGCTGAGAAAGTAGGGGTCACTTACAGTAAAATTCAGAGGGAAACACAGAGGCTACATTAAAGGAGGTGATTAGGTACTTCAGGAGGTTAGAAAACAAAAAAACTTTTTAACTAGAGGTTATCCCTTGAAATGTCAAAAAATAAGCTATCATGATGGGCTTTTTACTTTCTTTTTTGTTCTCTAAACATTTTGTTTCAGATTGCATTCACCCACCCCAGGTAATCAATCACTGGGTAAAAACTGAATTAGTGGACAAAAACCAACAACAATAATAATAAACACCTGTTCAAGTTCAAAGTGTTCCACTATATAAAGCAAAATGGATTTGTTTTCTAGATGAGTGAGCATTTGAGGTAATTTGGCTAGAAAGAAAACAATGGATTTGACTCTATTTTTCCTCATGTCGAATGAAGGTATTTAGATGCAGGATTAAAGAAGGCAAATCTTGGGTAAGGTATTACAATTTGGATCATTTTTTTAACATTTCATAATAGGGGTCACCATATAAAAGTTCAGTTTTTAGCTGACATTTACCTGGTCCACACACACTCACCTTTGCCCTCCACATCAGCCAGAGTTTAAAAACATCAACGTGGCGTCCGCACTGTAAGGCCTTGTCTCCAGTGTCATAGGACAGGTCATAATGTTTATCTTGCTGAAAGAGGTAGGAGGCATGCATTTGGTTGCAATTCTGCATCAATCCCTAAGAGAGAGAATAGAATATTTAGAAAATTCTACTGACTACTCATTAGATTTATATCAGTAAAAATTAATAGAAAAAAAATAAAAGAAGGAGACACTGCATATCTTAAAGAAAGAGAACAGTACAAATCAATTGGAAAAAAAGAATGGGGCCAATTCTGGACAGGAGAGTCTTGTTGTAATGGTGAACCACGTGGGATCAATGGCCCAGGGTCAAATGTCACAGAGGTTAGCAAGGACACATTTATACTTTCACTCTCCCTTTTAAGATAATGCATTTATAAAAATCAACTGATAAATAAAAATCACAACCAGAGCATACATTTATGTTTAAATGTTCTCCTTCTTTGGGAGAACATCTTGCTATTCTGGTTTTGACATGATTAAAATATTCTGGAAACTCTTTGGTTTTGTGGAAGATTATTGCTGTTTTTCTCCTAGTATTTCCATCCATATCTAGTTCAAGTACTTTATCATTTAGCTGTTAGAGTTTGAGCTCCTTTTGGAAATCATAGCTTTTAAGACAGCTCATTGCTATCATTTTTATATGCTGAAATCTAAAAAAAAAAAAAACAACAACAAAAAACTAGGTATACATTGCAATTTTTAGATAAATTTAAATAACCAATCTTTCAAATGTCATGTTCCTCTCTCAAGAGTGGTCAGAGCTTCAGTCCTACAATCGTATACTCAGTTTCTTGAGGTAGTTAAGTGGAAAGTTTCATCGTCAACGGCCATTCATTTGTCCTAGCACTGTAACCTGACTATGGAAATGGGTGGCAAAGTGATTGAATTATTCCACAGAATAGTGAATGAATCATGCTTTCTGACTAAAATAGTATCGCCAGTCTCTTCACTAAAAGCCCCGTGTTTCAATTTGTCATGAAGCACTGGAAGCCTTTGACTATTTTCTTCTCTTCTGTATAATTGTGATTTTACAAAAGCTTTGGCATTTGGTTTTGTTTCTTTTGTGACTCATGGCAAAGAAGACAAGACTAAAGTATGATCACTTAGTTGAAGTTAGAAGTGAAAACACTTCTGAAAACCGTACACACTAAAACACAATGCAATGCAACCACAACTTTAATTTGGTTTTGAAAGATGGAGTGCTGAAATGGTGGACAACAGAACTGGACTCTACCTTGTAGTTTAAGCTTCACATAGATTGGAATCCATTTGAAATTTTTGAGAATAAGAACAATTAAATATGATGTATTTATATTAGATCAGTAGAAATATATTGAACTAAAAAAAGAAAATTTACTTGAAGACCAATAAGGTGAAAATTTGCAACACGTGCTTTTATTTGGTTTCCTGGTCACAGAAACTTTGTACCATTATTCCTCTGGCCATGAAAGCTCCCACATTGGTGCCATCAATACTAAGGAAGACCACCTCAGAGATTGAAAAATGGTGAATGGATCAGACCTATTCCTACTGTGATAGAAAAAACAACTCAAAACACATGAGCCCTAAAAAGCTGGGCAGCTGCATTCTCAGTATTGTATAAAACGGCAAGCAAAGGTGATGCTGTTTTCCCTACAGAAGGCCTTAGTGAGATGATGCCCTGGTTCTGAGCCATGAAAAAGTTATAGACCATCATGTCCCAAACTATTTAAAACACACGAATAGTTCTGTATGAAGAGATTCCCATGCTTGAATAAATTTAGGAAACTGTATATCATCTATTCTTTCTTTTTAGATACTGCAATACATATCAGCATATTAAGGGCCCCAATAAGCCCTGAATTAATGTAAGTTGCTTTAAACTCTAAACCAATATATCCCAGCCTTTTTAAAACTGAGAACTCTCTTACTGGAGAACACTTATTCCCATCTTATGGAACAGCACGTTCCTTGGATGCCGTCAGAACATCATAAACTCTTGGATTATGGAGTAAATGAATTAGAGCTTGTTTACCCTATTGCTGCTCAATAAAGGAATCATTTCTACACACTTACTAATGAGTGGCTGTCCAATCTCTCTATTAATCACCTACCTCTGTTAATTTATTCCTATTGTTGGGCAGCTTGATTGTTAGAAGTATTCCTTTTATTGAAACCAAGTCAGAGCTAAAATCACAGCGTCTTCTGATTTTGCCATTCAAATCTGTACCATCCGGTGTACTAAACCAGCACCTCAAAGCCTCACTGAAAATCCTAATCTCTTCCATTTGACAGTCCTTTAAACAGTGAAGGCTGCCATCCTTCTCTCAGCCCTTTTCTTTTCTTTTTCTCCGTAGGCTAAACATTCTTAGTTCTTTCAACCATCCCTCTTACATGTTTACCATCTGGTCCCCACAGTTTGGGCTCTAGCTTGATGAAACCCCATGGACAATTTGGTACCAAGCTAAGCAGAGCACTGTAGGTATGGTTTAACCAGAGGTGAGGGGGAGACCATCACCTTCTCATGCTGAAACTCCACTTCCTTTTTCTCATTAATGCATTTTGTGCGGCATTCTTCTCTGGACTCATTGTTGACCCTGTAGAGCTAATATCCTTTTTCACAAGTCCAACAGTTTAGCCATGTAGAAACAAGCCTTTCTTGCCCAATCAAAATACAACCATCATATACAGGGACCTAAGAGCAGAGCCTTACAATGATCCCCAATAACAATGTCCCTTTTTGGATGTGGCTCACTGGTCCAGTCTATAAAAATCAACTTATATTCTGATTGATTCCATCCCTACACACATTTACTCTACCTCCCAGTCTCTCTCATCTGAAACATTAATAGGCTTCTGTGTTTGACTCAAACAGTCCATGAATATTTTGAATGGTACACGTTAGGTACCAAGCCATAGGCTCTATCCTGGGTTTAATAACCAGTCAGTAGGTCCTTCCAATGCAGTCATCTAATCAGTTCCAAATCTTTCTATTTTCTTCCAGCTCACATTTCTCTTTTGGTCTGTGAGGACAAGATGGGAGCCACTGTCAAAACATCTGGCTGAAATCTAAATAACACAAATTTATTTTCTCCTTTCAAGTAATTACAGCTGAGGTTTACGTGAGCTAGGGCAGATGATAATACACTGAACTATATTTTTAACTGACAAAAAACCAGTCTGAAAGGATATTTTCCAATCCATTCATCTCATTTTGAAGGGATGTTTCTGCTTCAGTCCTGTGTCCACATTTTTATTATTAATGGAGACGCAGAAGACATGCTGTGTATATTTGCAGCTGACAAGAGGGGGCATTTAGAAGCACAGAAGCAATAACACTCTGTGGCCCGGCAATCCCGCCTTGAGGAGTCTACTTTGAGAAAATAATCAGGAATGTGATCAAAGATATATGTTTAAGGAGTCTATCAAGTCACTCTGTAAAACACTGGTCAGTATTTTAACCATGGAGATATGGTTCGCTGAATTATGTGATAGAATAATATGAGTCCATTAAAAATCAGGTTTGGGGAGAGCATGCTCACAAGCTAATGTAAAGTATGAAAAAGAATAAGCATGTCTGTATGAGGTAGATGATAGCAATTTTATTATAAATACACATTCATGCATTTTTACATATATTTATTTCTAGAAAAAATATGGGAGAAAATATTAAAAATGGTAATCACATTTATCTCTAAGTGATAAAAAATTTGAGGTGACTCTAAATTTATTTATATTTTCTGTTCTATCTCAACTTTTTAAAATAACGTGTTAACCGTATAATTAGAAAAAAGGAAAATATTTTTATTTGAATTTTCTCCTTTATTTTGTTAATATGGTGAATTACATTTATTTTATTTATTTTTTTTTTGAGATGGAGTCTTGCTCTGTAGCTCAGGCTGGAGTGCAGTGGCACGATCTTGGCTCACCGCAACCTCTGCCTCAAGCAATTCTCCCACCTCTGCCTCCCAAGTAGCTGGGATTACAGGCACAAGCCACCGTGCCCAGCTAATTTTTGTATTTTTTAGTAGAGACGGGGTTTCACTATGTTGGCCAGTCTGGTCTTGAACTCCTAACCTTGTGATCTGCCCACCTCGGCCTCCCAAAGTAATGGGATTACAGGCGTGAGCCACTGCACCCGGCCACACTGATTGATTTTTTAACAACCCTGCACGTTCTATACATGTACCCCAGAACTTAAAGTATAATAAAAAAAATAAAGTAAATGGGCATGGTGGTTCATGCCTGTGATCTCAGCACTTTGCAAGGCTGAGGCAGGCAGATCACTTGAGGCCAGGAGCTCTTGACCAGCCTGGCCAACATGGCAAAACCCTGTCTCTACTAAAATCACAAAAATTAGCTAGGTGTAGTGCCAGGCACCTGTAGACTCAGCTACTTGAGAGGCTGAGGCATGAGAATTGCTTGAACCCAGGAGGCAAAGGTTGCAGTGAGCCAAGATCACACCATCACACTCCAGCCTGAGTGACAGAATGAGAATCTGTCTCAAACAGAAAAAAAAGGTAAACGAAGGTCAACACTTAAAAATTCCTTTAATCTGGGGTTGCTTTATTAATGCTAAGAAGCCATCTTGAATGAAAGTGCTCACTGATGCTGCTTCTCTTTTCGGGTTAATAAGGATGCAGCTTCCTTACCCTCTGAACGTGGCTTTAAATATTAGATAGATTGTAATCATGAGACATAGAACACATACATATACATATACATGTTATATATCTGGATCCTAACACTAACCTTAATCCTATATCATGTATATTTCTTATATAGAGAAAATGATCCCCTCTCAGTTTCCAGAAAAAAAAACTGAAAATTTAATTTTTTGAGAAGGTGACATATAGGGTATCTAGATTGGGGGACAGCAGGAACACTTGAGGAAAAAAGTAGCATGCTGAAAACAGGAGATTAGATAGAAGTTTATGCTCTGAAAGTTGATGTCCTCTTATCCTTCCTTCCCCGTTAGGCACCAGACCTTCACCCTGCAGACAGGAATCTGGAAAGTGCTCTCTGGGGAATGTGAGTAGCGCCATAGAAAAGACCCGGTGATCTTGACATTTCCAGAGAAAGTCAACCACATAAAGAGTCAAAGCCCACGCATGGACTGGGACACAGAGTCAGGAGAGACATACCTCTTCTCTAACCAGGAGAGCAGAGCACTGCAAAGGGACTCCCATCATTTTGTGTGGATTCCACGTCACAGAGTTGGCCCTAAAATAAACAAATCACATAAGCAAGTGGCACTCCATCCCGACAGGCCCAGGGCACGCGCAACTGAGTTTCAGTTTCTTAGTACTGTTTCTCAGACTCCAGATTGACACTAAATGTATGTATTTATTTTAATATAAATAATTAAATAGATTTATTGGGTACAAGTGTAGATTTCTTACATGCATATAGTGTGTGGTGGTGAAGTCTGGGCTTTTGGTGTATCCAGCACCCGAACAATGGCCGCTGTACCCAACAGGTAATTTTTCAACCCTCACCCCCATCCCATGCTCCCACAACACTACATTTAGTAAACACAAAGTAGACTCTTAAACATGCATGAAAGGAAAATATCTTGAGCCCCCAAATCACTAAGCTAAAGAGAAAAGTCAAGCTGGGAACTGCCTATGGCAAACCTGTTCTCTCATTCTATTCAGTCACCCCTCTGCTCACTAAGATAAATGCATATCTGATTGCCTCCTTTGGAAAGGCGAATCAGAACTCAAAAGAATGCATTTGTCTCTTATCTACCTGTGACCTGGAAGGTCCCTCCCCACTTCAAGTTGTCCTGCCCTTCCAGACCAAACCAGTGTTCACCTTACATATGTTGATCAGTGTCTTATATCTCTCTGAAATGCACAAAACCAAACTGCTCGGCCCACCTTTGGCACATGTTGTCAGGACCCCCTGAGGCTGTGTCACAGGCATGCATCCTCAACCCTGGCCACATAAACTTTCTAAATTAACTGAGACCTGTCTCAGTTTTTTGGAGTTCATACTGCAACTTTTCTTGGTCCACAGAAATAGCAGGTGAGGGCGGGGGTCACCATGCGGTGTGCCCCAGCTCCAGTGGCAGCATGCACCCCAGAGCCCCTTAGAGTGACTGGGATCACCCAGTCCAGGGTCCTTCCTTCGGCCAGTGATGGCCAGAGCACCTGGCCAGTGAGGGCAGCTGCTTCCTGTGCCTCTGTGGTCCTTGCTATTGCTGTGGCCTGGAGCTCAAAGAGAGGGCTCATTCCACTGCTGAATTTTATTCCTTTCTTAACTCGATTTTTCCTTTCTAATCAATTGATGTCCAAATTTCTCTCTCAGATTCGTTGTTTCGTAGTAGCCTCTGGTGAGGCCCCTGCTTCCTTCTGTTTCCTAATCCAGTTACTTTCTTTCCAGACTGCAGGTGAGAGGTGCTGTGGCTCCCACAGCAGGGGAGAGTTCCGTCTTGTTCTGCCTCACACCTTGAAGAAATTTGATGCTCTCTCATCAGTAACAGTGGCTTACACAATAGCGATTCCCCACTCAAGGATTTATGTTGTTTCAAAAGTTTAAACTGTAGTCTTGGTTCAGATTCCCTTAATAATAATTATTTTATTTTAATCTGAACTCAGCAATTGTGTTGTAACTGATTCTCAGTCTCCATTTTCTTCTTCACTTGGCAGCAGAATTATTTTCTGTCTGTGTTTATGGCCCTTTTCTTCTCCGAAATCACGGACAGTTTTCTTTTGCCTCCAGCCCAAATTCCAAACTGCAGATTCCAAACTGGTGCAGCCCCTGGGGCGAGCCCTAGCTACGCCTTAGGCCTTGCGACCAGGCGATTTTCTTTGTCCATTTCATCACGCCAGATTCTCTTTTGTTCTCAGAGAGCTCTGTTCTCACACTGCTGGGTCTTGTAGTGCTGTCTCCTCTTCCTGGAACATCATCTCCCTTTGCTTCACAATGTTAAATCTTGCTTATTTTTTAAGGCCCCAGATTCTTTCAGTATTCTCTCCGTGACCTTGTTTAACTTCTGCAACGTCTCTCTCTCACTTCCATTGTGCTCCTCTTTTGATTCTGGGAAAAGCAACTGCTCCCACTGTGAATATCGTGGCTCACTTCACACATTTACTGGGTAAGGTGAGCCTTTGCACTGTCTTCGGAGAGACTGAGGGGTCGTGGCAGTGGAGTTTCATGAATCTGACTGTGGCATCAAGGAGGAAGGAAAGCGTGACAGAACAACCAGCAGCAGCTGCCTCCAGAGAGCCACTGATTGTTGCCCTGTCTGGCTGTGCAATGGACTTGGGCTCACCCAGTTCCTACCTCTCTGGGTATGACGGCCTTGGGAAGAAATGAGAAGCTGGGAAAGGCCCCATTCACTCATTTGATAAAGGGTAGGTGTCAGCCAGACAGTCAGAGGGCACTCACTGGCCTGGGGATCTTATCCAGACCAATGAATAGTCTAGCTCAGCTTCCGGTCTTTCTCTGGCTCTGACACTATGTGTCAGATACATTTAGGATTGGAATTGAGGAAATGGAAGCAAAGGCAGTTCATGATCAGATAACTAACCCTGAAGAGAGGACTAAATGACTTAATGAATAATAACAGCATTGAGGTATTGAAAAGTTCCCTCCAAGAAAATATCTACTTGCTCTGTAGAATGACCCTGCAGTCAGGACCCTAGGCTGTAAAGCAGACATAATAGTTAAGGGGGAAGCCCTCAGGAGCCAGGTAATATGGATTTGCATTCAGGTTTCATCACTTCCTAGCTGTTTGACTTTGAGTAAATTGCTTAACCTCTCTGTGCCTAGATTTTCTCACCTGGTAAAGGAGAATAATAAATACTTTAGGTAAAATGCTTAGAACTGTGCTTAACATGCAGTGAGCATTAAATAAAGTTGGCTCTTGCTATAGATTTCACTTCTGCCATTTGCAAACTTGGTGACACCGTGCACGTATGTACACACAGCCATTCTATACATTCCATCATGTTCTATGGCTAGATATCTAACTCTGATAAACTCAGCTTTGTCAGAAAGAATGCCTGATGGGAGAGGAAACAGCCGTCCTCCATTTCTGTGACTGTGGTGTTTATCTCTATGTGGGGCCTATTTGTCTTTTTAGAAGAGAAGCTGCCAAGGCCCACAACTACCTGTCACTGAATTCTCTGTCCCACCTCTCTCTCAGAGGCATAAAGATGGCAAAAAGCCCTGCAGATTGATTTGATGACATGACCTTAGTTTATTTAAGAAATGTTGGCAATTTACTTAAAAAAAAAACAACAGCCTCGGCTTCACTTCAAAGTGTTTTGGTGTGGGATTCGGTCACGTAGCTTCTGCAGCCTTTGTAAGTTGGAGAGAACTGAATCCAGCAGGGCTGTTTAAAGACACCTCCCTACGCTCTTATTTGTGCTTCAAATCCATAGGCCCCACTCACCACTGCTCAGCCTTCTAGACTGATTCTTTCTCCTCCATATTTGTGTTGCTGGTGCCATTTTCCTTCCAGGCATCCAGCCTCCAAACCTCACTGCTGTCCTTGGTTTCATGCCTTTCTGCCCCATCTTGATAATGCCCCTTACAGTTCTCTCTCTCCCGCTCTCCTAGGTCCATCCACTTACTTCCTTCTCTGCTGCTACACACTCAGCGTCTCTCCCATCCTACACGTGGACGTTCCTAATAGCTTAATAGCTTCTAATCAGTCCCTGACTCCCGTCTCCTCTCTAATGCAGAGTTAATGCCGAGACGCAGGCATTAACAGGTGAGATCGTATTGCATCTCTGCTCAGAGCCTGCTATGCCTCCTGCAGCAAAGGTTTTCCACGGGTTTTGTCCCCTATGAGGAATCTAATGCTCTCCACGCATAATGGTGGCCCACACAGCAGTGACACCCAGCTCAGGGATGTATGTTTCATGGGAAGCATCCCTGTGGATACTGACCCGGCTCTCCAGGCAGGCCCTGGGCTGAAACTCACCGGCCAAGACTTCCGCATTTTCAACCCGTGTCCTGGCCACAGCTGTGAAACCATGTCATCCACCAACCAAACTTGTTTGAACTTTCTCCAAGACCTTGTGTACTTTCACACTTGTGTCTCTTCCGCCTGAATGCCCTTTTCTGCTTCTGCCTGATGAAGTATCTAGTATGCCATGGTGCTCAGCTCCAATGCTGCCCTGCTTGGCGAAAACTCCCGGTAATCACAGAAGGAACCATTCCTTTCTCTGTGCTCTCCAATCCACTCCCGTGTCTGTCTCTTGAGCCTTGGCTTCCTTGCCTTGAATTTTTATCCACTGTTCATGGACAAGCTTCCCCACTAGATTCTAAACTCCTTAAAGATGGGCTTTATACCACACTTATCTTTGCAGTCACATGGTGCCTTGTGCTGTGGCTTGCAGAAGACAGAGATTTAGCAATGATCAAATTAAATCCTGAACCCCTGGCTCTCAGGGCGGGAATGAGGGCAACCGGTGAGACAGCAGAAACTGCACCAGCACCTTCAGCTGAGATGTAAAGCCTTGAGAGTGGAACACATCAGAGGATCATTACAGTAAGCAGCAGCCTATGGGCGGGAGGGACTAAAGACAAGTTGGTTTACGATGCACAGAGGTCAGGTGCGGTGGCTCGCACCTGTAATCTCAGCATTTTGGGAGGCCAAGGCGAGCTGATCACTTAAAACCAGGAGTTCAAGACCATCCTGGTCAACATGGTGAAACTCCATGTCTACTAAAAAAAAAAAAGAAAGAAAAAAAAATTGGCCAGGTGTGGCGGCACACACCTGGAATCCCAGCTACTCAGGGGGCTGAGGCAGGAGAATTGCCTGAATGCGGGAGACAGAGGTTGCATTGAGGCAAGATAGTGCCACCACACTCCAGCCTGGGTGACAGAATGAGATTCCATCTCAAAAATAAATAAATAAAAGAAAAAGAAAACTAAAAATACGACACACAGAGTCATGCTCTGGAGTCTCAGGCCTTGTGGCCTGCACCCTCAGTGGCACCATCTCTAGACATTTTGACAATGCTAGCAAGGAAGAGAGTTGTTTTCTGAGAATTTGGTTGGTTCTTAAAGGCAATGACAGGCAGGGCTCTAGGTGTTTGTGCCATTTAATTAATCTCTTTTTTTAGAGATGGGGTCTCTGTTGCCCAGGCTGGAGTGCAGTGGTGCCATCATAGTTCACTGCAGCCTTGAATTCCTGGGCTCAAGTGATCCCCCTGCCTCACTCAGCCTCCTGAGTAGCCAGGACCACAGCTAGGTATGCCACCATGCCTGGCTAATTAAAAAAAAAAAAAAAAGTCTTTTTGTAGCGATGGAGTCTCACTTTGAAACCCAGGATGGTCTTGAACTCCTGGCCTCAAGTGATCCTTCCACCTTCACCTCCCAAAGTCCTGAGATTAAAAGCAAGAGCCACCGTACCTGGCCCTCTTGTGTCATTTTGTTGTGAGAATGGCATTCAGGATTCCATGTGACTACTAAGGAGCCTCTGGATTTGGGGACAAGAATTGACTATGGATTTCCTCTTCTTTTAGAGTGAGTTCTAAACTTTGGTTTGTAGCACTTTGAAAAATGTCATTCTCTAAGTGAGACACATTTCTTTTCTAAACTTGTGGCCATACACATTACGTGGTTTCTGCTGGTCTTCCAACTGTACTCACTTAGAAAGTACACCTTTTACTAATAAGTCAGTGAGAGGGATATCCTTGGGTAAATGGGTTGGCCAAGGGGGTCCAACAGCCCCCTCATTTTTAGGACTTCATATATGGTTATTCTATTTGAAAATTTTAGTTACAATACAGTTTCAATAATTGTGGCAATAAAAGAACTCTGTGTTCCTTGATGAACGTTCTAAGCTTTGCTCTCAGATAATAGTCTTTGGTACAGAATTGTGTGGGTGTTTATTTTTCTAAGGCTCAGAGTAGGTAATTTTGTGAGTTTTTAAGTGGAGGATGTGCCAGGGCTTTCAGCATTTGCAGTCACACGTGGCATCAAAGGTAAAATGACAGACTTTTTGCGCCAGTCAGAAACTCACAGAAGAGAAAGTACTGTATCTAGGCCACCTCTCTTGAAAGCACATGAATTTAATTCTTGTTCTTATCCTGCGAGCAGGTACCTTCCAAGTTGTTCTCTCTTTTATTGTCTCTCCCTGTTTTGTTAATTGCTTCTTCCTTAAGCTTCTGCTTTCTTGCAGATCTTCATAATGGAAAGGGATTAGGCCTGGGAGAAGCCCCAAGGGTCCGAGAGCAGAGGCCTGGCACTGGCTGACTCTGGGAAGGAGACACGCCTGTCCTCATCCACTGATGTCTCAATGCGACCCTGCAATCAGAGCTTGGGCGGCTCTAGGCGCCTTAACCCAGTTGTGTTCAGGCCAGGCCCCGACCCTGGCTGTCAGACTCAGGGACAGTGACCCTTCTGACATGGGCCTTCGCTGGTGTATCCCAATTTTTTTTTTTTCTTTCTTTCCACTAATTCGGTGGGATTCCAGCCCAGTAACCCTACCCCTCTCTTTTCACACTCATGGGATCTCTGTGTGTTTTGGGCCTGGGTGTCACATCGCTCCCTCTGCACAGCAACTCTGGCTGGGCTTCCCACATGCCCCGGGCTCACAAGTGCTTCTGTGCTCCATCAGCATCTCTCCTTGTCTTGGAACTGAAACTGTGCCAAGCTGTCTAGCAGCAGAGCCAGTGTGGTGCGTTTGCTGGGCAGCATCTGGCGACTTGGCAGGGCATGGTGGGCATTTGGCAGCCTCCGATGAATTCAGGCTTTCCTGGTTGCCTGGAATATCAGAGCTCACCACTGTGTCTGACCTGCCATGGTGTGATGAGAGAACTGGGCTCTCTTTGCATGTGGTTCAGAACCAGAGCCTGTATTTTGCATTCTGTTTTTCTCTTTTCTTTGGACCTGAATGTGCTTTATGCTAATCAGACTTATCACCTTTGTGTTTTTCAGCTTTTCTCAACAGTCTTCTGTGTAGGCTTTAAGTAAAAGGTGCTTTGCAGCATCAGTCAGAGCAGCATCAGAGAAAGGTTATTACGGGAGTGAAACCATGAGATGAGGTTATAGCTAGTAAGTCTCACTTTAAGTGAACTAGCCATCTTAGACCTCAAACCAAAACTTTCAACATTGATAAGTTGCAAGGTGCCTATTTGTGAAATTATTTGTTGTTTTTTTAAGCAGTGGATATTATCCTTTTATGAAATATGAAAGCTATAAATCTTCTCCCTGGAAAATGTGGGCTGCCTGTAGGTTTTAAACAATTTTTTGTGGTTGGTTCAGATATCCCAGGAATATGCCCTAGAAAGGAATCTCTATGTCTGAAAGACATTCTACCTGAGTCACCTGATGTGTGTTCTGATTTTTCTGTTGTTCACACATAATATTTACATATTTGATTTTTCTGTTGTTTACACATATTCATGAGTACCACATAAGGCAAGGAACACAGGCACTGGATAGAGTGAGCTCACCCAGTAGTCCAAGAGTTCCTGGAAATTGATTGTAATTCGTGTTTCACGGTTGGCTTTTAACACTTCATGTTGTTAATAAGAAAAATGCAACATACCTCTCCACGCCACTCAGTTTCCACCTGTGTTTTCGGGACATCAGTAATCCACCACCCCAAGCTGCCTGAAAATAAAAAGATCGTAAGAGGCAAATCATAGCAGTTTGTCATTGCCTAGGTTTCTTTTTGTGTGTGTGTGAGATGGAGTCTTGCTCTGTCACCAGGCTGGAGTGCAGTGGCGCCATCTCAGCTCACCACAACTTCTGCCTTCCAGGTTCAAGCAATTCCCGTGCCTCAGCCTCCCGAATAGCTGGGATTATAGGAGCGCGCCACCACACCCAAGCTAATTTTCTGTAGTTTAGTAGAGATGGGATTTTACCATGTTGGCCAGGCTGGTCTCAATCTCCTAACCTCAGGTGATCCACCCGCTTCCCAAATTGCTGGGATTACAGGCGTGAGCCACTGTGCCCAGCTGTCATTGCCTAGATTTCTATAGTTTGGTGTCTTCTAGACTAATGAGAGTCTCCTAGGGTAAAAATCATCTCCTTGAGCCCAGGCAACTTAGGGAGTTGACCACCTTCCTCTGGCACTAGACCTTCAGAGTTTACATTGAGGGCCCATTCTAAAGTCCCAGACTCTATCCCACATTTATATGGGTGTTAAGGAGCCACCTTGGAGGCTTATTTCCTGGTCTGCAGGAGATGGAGAAAGACCCTCTCCCAAACCTATCACTGGCACTGTTAGTCCTAGTGAAGTCATGTTCTCAGAATGAGAAACCCTGTGTTCCCCACAGTGTCAGGCAGCGAAGATGGGCAGAAGGGCCATTAAACACCTTCCAAGTTGCAGGGAAAACTCTTTTGACAAGTCTAAATGATTCCAGAAATAGGAAATGTTTTCTTAACTCTATTTCACTGATGTGTGATTTTTTACATTCTGTGTCCAAAAGAAAAACCCCACCCAAAATCCACAAGCAGAAAAGATTCATACCAATTAGCTGAGCAATTAGAACACATGTCTTAAAAATGTGTGCTTGATCAAGTTTGAAGATTTGAATTGGTGTAGGAATCTCCTTTAAAAACAGAATGTCAAGATGGAGATTCATTTGGAAACATTAACTTTCCTCTGTGTGTACAAATAATTCAGAGATAATTTTAATGGGATTATAAAATCTCTTTATGATATAATTGCTTCCCCAAACTTTTGTTGTAAATTCAGTTCCTTTTTTTTTTTTTTTTTTTTTTTGAGACAGAGTTTCACTCTTACTGCTGGAGTGCAATGGTGTAATCTCAGCTTACTGCAACCTCTGCCTCCTGGGTTCAAGCAATTCTCCTGCCTCAGCCTCCCAAGTAGCTGGGATTACAGGCACCCACCACCAAGCCTAGCTAATTTTTGTATTTTTAGCACAGACAGGGTTTCACTATGTTGGCCAGGCTGGTCTTGAACTCCTGACCTCAAGTGATACACCAGCCTCAACCTCCCAAAGTGGTTTATATTACAGGCATGAGCCACTGCGCCGGGCCCAGTTCTTTTGCACTTTGAAAAATTATCTGATTTTCCAAATGTGTACTATTTGAAGATTTTTTTCTACTATAATTTAGAATGTATGAATGTCAAAGCTAATAAGAGTAAGTGGTAAACTTGGTATGTTTCAAAGAAAAGCTAATAAAACTGGTTAAAAGATTCCCTAGTTCTAATTTAAGTAGAAGGCCCAGAGGAACGACCCATAGCTTCTGTTGGCTCAGGACACACAGACATTCTCATTTTGAAGTTGTCAGATAATCCTCTTCCTGAATCAGCCAGCAAGGTCTCACAGGCTTTCCAGTCCTGAGACCCAGGTCACCAATGGTACCGAGGTGGTTCAGTCTTTTCTCAGTGTCTTCAAGTGTAAAATGAAAGGGGCTCTGGTAGCCTAATAAATGACTCACTGTGAATCACGGAGGATAAAGAAGATTGGCGATTGCTTTGCATGAATACTCTGGAATAATGGAAATGCGCCCAGCTTAGCCAGTGGAAGTTTTATGCTCCTAAAGAAAAGAGTATTAATGAGCCTGGGCACGGTGGCTCACGCCTGTAATCCCAGCGCTTTGGGAGGCCAAGGTGGGTAGATCACGAGGTCAGGAGTTCGAGATGAGCCTGGCCAACATGATAAAACCCCGTCTCTACTAAAAATACAAAAATTAGCCGGGTGTGGTGGCGCACGCCTGTAATCCCAGCTACTAGGGAGGCTTAGGCGGGAGAGTTGCTTGAACCTGCGAGGCAGAGGTTGCAGTAAGCTGAGATCGTGCCACTGCACTCCAGCCTGGGTGACAGAGCAAGGCTCTGTCTCAAAAAGAAAAGAAAAAGAAAAGAGCATGAATTTGATCTGAATAATTTTTATAAAGCCAAAATGAGCAAAGCCAGGGCTGGATCACTGTCACAGCACTGGCTTAGATGTGGTGCTGGCCCATGACAACGTAAAGAATCTTGCACTCAAATGAACATCAACTTACGCGTTCCTTCGCTGAGGAAGTCTTGCAATGAAAAAGTTACCAGCTGAATCAAGCATTGTGCTTAGTTTGTGATGGTTTGTGATTAGTGATGGTTTGACACAAACTTTATCTCATGTGGATCACTAACAGTTTGCAGGTGGTAGCTAATCTTTGAACCACACTGAGTAATACTCATCTACACTTAAATCCCTTCAATCCTTCTAAAACATGACACTTTTTTTTTCCACTGGAAAATGTTCTGGTGGGCACACCTCCATTATTGTCTAGTGTGACAAGGCCTGAAGTCAAAACCTTTCAAAAATAATTTATCTTCTTACCTGACGAAGCTAAGAAACTGAAACTTTGGCTGTCTATATTTCCCAGGAAGCTGTCAAGCCTGTTTTCCTCTCTAAACATAGGAATATCTAACTTGAGCTTGAGGATTTTTTTTTTTTTATCCTCTGGGTTTCCTACATAAATGCAACTCATTTTTACTCTTTTGACCATCCTGGTAAGTGAGGAAAAGCTGCATGTGTGGAACTGTGTGTGCAGCCTGTATTCCTCCGTTAGATGCAATGGCTCGATGAATTGAAAACAAAGTAGTCAGCTTGGGTACTGATCAGAGAAATACAAACATTACCATGTTAGGGACATTAAGGCATAATCAGCCTCGGGATGCTTCTGGTGCATGTTGTGTACTGTGTGAGTTGTGTGCTAATTTGCTTTAGCCGTCTTTAAAAGCTTTAATATCACCACTCTGAAAATAAGCTGATCGAGTTAAAAAAAAAGAGAAAACAAATTTCCTTTATGTGTCCCAGAGGCAAAACATGCAAGGACATTTTAGTGGCCGGTCCCTAAGGGATACTTACATCCACATGCATCCAGATCTTATACTTCTTGCAAATGTCGGCGACAGCTAAGAGGGGGTCAAATGCTCCATACACGGTGGTTCCAGCTGTAGCACTCACGAGGAAAGGAACAAATCCCTGTGCGAACGAGAAAGCCCCAGATCATGGAAAAGAGATTCAAGGGTTCTTTTTAAAGGCTGATTCAAAGCAATGGCAATTCTCCCCCTAACACACACGTCTGAATTTTGGGAAGCAGCAGATGAGTTATTGATACCCTAGGGCGTGGGACAAACTGCTGTTCACTCTCTGGAATCTGAGTTCTCTAGGCCATGCTGTTGGACCTTACTGTCTTATAAGAACAGACATTCGGATTTTCAGAAGAGGCCGCAATAAACCCAGAGGCTGTTAGTGATGTCCCCAAGACATGTATATATTCCCGGTAGACTTTCTGGCCCTTTGTACCTGCTTTGTTCACTTTCAAGTGTTCCTTATTCACAAAGAGGCCTCCAAACTTCATAAGTCCCCTAGAGTGAATAGGCAGGACAATGAAGAGAAGTAGCTCTGACCAGCCCGTTTTTCCTATTTGGAAAATGCTCCGATAATTTATTTGGCATTTCAGCACAGAGGGGCTAAAATAATAAGCCACGACTTTCATCCATCCAACTAGTCCTCAGTCTCTCTGACCATGGCTAAATGAAAACTGATTGAAATAACAGGCTGGAAGAGGGCAGAAGAAGGCCACAAACAGGATCGCCATCGTCACTCATTCCGTAAGAACTCTGTCCTGTCTATAGAACATGACGTTTCGGCGTCAGTCTTTAGGTGGCAGCAAAGGTTTAATCTTGTAGTTGATGTTACTAGAAGTAGTTCTAGTATCTGTACAAGAATGAGGGAAATCTGCTGCCTGTCACTCAGTAAAACAAAACCAAATGAGAAAGGGCATATGAACGTAAATAATTACATCCATACGCGTAGTAAAATGAATGTGTATGTCATTAAATCAGGAACTGTAGATTATATCTACCAAACGGTAAACAGAATTTTAGAAACAAATTCTCTGATTTGTGAGCCATCCGGGGTTGTAAATGACTTTCTAGAGCTTTGGGAATCATGGGCAGGCTTTCAGAGCGTGTTACTTCTGAAAAGAATTCTAAATTTGCTTCCTGCAAAATAAGACGTTTGGAGAGCCAATGCTATCAGCATGTACCTAGATGGGAAAAACTGGCCCCTTCTGAAGAACTGCACCAGGGTCCCTCACATACTGCATTAATATTCTGCTAATTCCCCACCTCTGAAAATACTCTTTCAAATGTGTGTGTCTTTCATGCCAACCCCCAGTACCTAGGAAGACAAATGCGTTAGAAACTCTTACTGTATCTCTGTACATAATATTTATTCAGCAATTTAAACTTTTCTAAAGCAGAGCCTATAACTCAGAGAAATAAACAGTGACTTGATGTAGAATTCTATATTCTCATCAAACCTGGGAGATTGAGGTTTGTATCCTCTTTCAAAAATAAAACCAAAACATGCTTTGTTCTCCGCTGGATGGAAATAGAAATACAGGCTGGATAAAGCTCCTGGCAGAAACTTACTTTCTGTTTAGCTTCAAGAATCCTTCTTTCAAGATCAGACGGGATCATTTTCCCTCTGGAAGGAAAAAGAAATACAGATTTGCTTTGAGTAATTTGCTTCGTGGACTTTACAACGTAAGCGGCAGCAGGAGGGTAAAGTCCAACCCTAAACTGTTGATAATAATACTCAGTGAAAACAACTCCTTGACTGTTTCCAGGAAGAATGCATTTACCTGCCTGGATGATGCATGACTATAGTTTCTGGCCCATTTTGCAGACTCCTGACCACACTGTGTTGTTCTCCGTAGAACGATTATAATGGCTGTGTACACCACCTTCTTATTAAGTCATCCTCTTAATTCAATTAAAACAAACCTGATTTTGAGCAAAACGTTTGGCAATGAAAGGAGAGTTCAGAAAAACCTTTCTATTCCAAACCTTTTAATAAACTGACCTGCAATTTCACATACCAATGACACACCAAGAAAAGAAAATCCATTCTGAAACATCTGGATGAAGATACGAAGTAAATAAGCTACCTAATGACATTCCAAGTGCTAAAAGCATAAAGAGGGCCAAAAATTAATGGGCTCAAGTTTCAAATATCCTTTCAACCCTAAAAATGTTTCTTTCTTAAAAATAAAAAAAAAAAAAAACAGTGCTTTGCTTCCTATTATAATAATCAATCATGGTAATGGAGGCAGAGAAACGTTCTTTAAGTCAAAATAGCTCTCTGGAGGTTGCTAACATGGCCAATTTTGCATCAGGGTCATTGATCTAGGTTTTAAAAAGGCTATTTGGAAAATAACTGATGGTAGAGGTGATTATCACGATAAATGGTTGTGGGATACTGTTGGCATATAGTGAGCAGTGAGAGGGGTTTTCGGTATTTGTCACTGGCCCAAGAGTACATTTGTGGCTCTCCTAGAGTCTAGACATGCAGCAAGCGTTGGACTTCATTACAGCTTCTAGTGCTGTCTTGCTTAGGCTTTTACATATTAAAATAAGTTAATTTATTATGAATTACTTCTATAGCCTTTATTTAAAAATAGCATTATATAGCGAGAAGGGTAAGTTATATTTTTGACCCATTTTTTTCAGGCCAATAAAGACCTGATAAAATAATTGGAATATAAAGCAGACAGGAAACCTCAAAGCACTGGGACTCACTGATTTTGTTGAAGCTGTTTCCCAAAGAAAGACAATTATCTGGGCAATGGTAACGGACAAGTTACCAGTGATTCATTTGTCACGCTGGAATGGAAAAATAGGGCATTACAGGTATATTTGATGCCAAGAATATGGACTTAGATTTGGGGAACTTCTGTGAGACTGAGGGGAGGGAAGAGAGAGTGGTGTGGTTGAGGAAAGCACATAGAGAGCTCCTCACTCCCTATAATTCTTCCTACACTTCACAGCTTTGCCTGGGGGCATCCCTGAAAGCAGTTTTTCAACCTCTCCCCATCAGATCAGGCTGTGCCAAAGCACCTTGCTCCAGCCCTGATATAAACAAAATGTTCAAGTTTCTGAGAAAGGGTATTATCTTTATCTTTTAAAGTTTAAAGCACATTAAAATTACCATAAACAAGAAAATTGAGAGTGAGAACTCTTAGAAATTGTTTTTTTGCAAATCTTGAATTTTACCCAAGTTTACCACAAGCTAAACACCTCTGCCTGGAAGAATTTGGGGTAGACTAGTTTGACAATCACTATTTGCTCATCAAATCATATCATACTTAACATTTTGTTAAGTATAAGGCAGTAAGATGGCAATGAGGGTCAGATGTGAGGGTACATTTGAATCGGAAGGGGTCCTAAGACATGCCCGATGCTAGTTGCACCTTCTCATTTTTCAAATAAGGTAACAGGCTGAGAGGAGAAGTGACTGCCCAAGATCTAATGCTGGTAAAAGGCCAGGGAGTAACTAGAAATATAATCCAAGCTTCCAGAACAAACTCAAAGGCACCAAACATATAGGAAACCTGTTTGGAAAGGCTGGAGTCTTTTAAAATAAGATAAATCTTTTAAGATCACATCTGACTTTCATGAGCCAGGGCTGTCATCCAAACCTGCCGGGAAAACAGTAGTGAGTATATGATCTGTTTCTTTCTTGTATCAGCAAGCTTTGGGCAGGAGGAGGGCGTATCTTGTCAAACATCAGCTCCAAGTGTTCACCTCTGGCAGACTGGAAAGACACGGGGCTAGCTCTCGTTTCTCCTCAGCACTCTGCCTTCCAAACCTGTATTTGTTTTGTCTACTTAGGACCCAGCGCCTGACATATGGCAGGTGGTAGATAAACATCTGTTGGAGGAATATGGTTAGAAGGAAAAGTTGAACCCAAAGCTATTAATATGTTTACCTTAATGTCTGACTAGACAGTGAATATGGAGGCCTTAATGTCTGACTAGACAGTGAATATGGAGGCCTTAATGTCTGACTAGACAGTGAATATGGAGGCCTTAATGTCTGACTAGACAGTGAATATGGAGGCCTTAATGTCTGACTAGACAGTGAATATGGAGGCCTTAATGTCTGACTAGACAGTGAATATGGAGGCCTTGTGAGAGGAAACTTACTGTCTTTTGCTCTAACTTAGAATTGGCCAAATTACCTTAGAACACTGGTTCTTAAAATTTAGTAAGCATAATAATCACCCACGCCCCTGTTTAAAATGCATAGCCCCATTCTTAGGCATTTTGATTCAGTAGGTCAGCATGGGGACCAGGAATTAATTCATCCCACAAAAATTTATTGAGCACTTGCTATGTGCCATGCAGTGTTGTAGGAAGTGGGGTACCAGGGTAAACAGGACAGCTTCTACTCTTCAGGGCTTCCATGCTAAGAAGGGAGACAAACAATAAACTGATAAATAGACAAATGTGCACAAGAATCTGCATTTTCATCAGTCACCCAGGTGATTCTGCATAACATATGCAGGTAGACCCAGGGTCGTATGTTAAGAGATGCTGCTTGGGACATTTTAACCTGGGAGGTACTTACATAACTGTGTAACACACTAAGTACTTTTCACATGTGCCATGGTTTGGAGCCTTCATGGCTGCAGTGCAGTGAGTAGAAGGAGCTCCAGATGCAGCCTCGTCCATCCCTGCCTGCCCACATGTTGCAGAGAGAGAGAAGATTGGGTGACAACCAGCAGACTGTCCTCTGCGGATTAGAAGTTGTCAGGTCAGTCCTGGCCTTTTTGCACAAAAATCGCCTGGTGCCTGGGAGGCTTTGGATGGCGACTGTTACATACACTATGTGTAGTCTAAAAGAATTTCTATAACATAAGAGTATATTTTTAATAATTATGCATCCAGCCTTTAAGCTCACAGTTAAGCAGCCACTGATGCTTTATAACACTGCTCTCCGTTAGTTGCTAGTGTTTAAAAAGGGACTGCTACTAAAGTGAGGGCCGTTGAACCAGACTGCTGCTTTGGACAAGGTATTTTGCATTGAGATGCTCAGTCAACAGTAGGCTTTAAAAAGTCTTATGATGCTGGCAGGGTGCAGTGGCTCACGCCTGTAATCCTAGCACTTTGGGAGGCCGAGGCAGGCGGATTATGAGGTCAAGAGACTATCCTGGCCAACATGGGGAAACCCTGTCTCTACTAAAAATACAAAAATTAGCTGGGCATGGTGGCACGTGCCTGTAGTCCCAGCTACTAGGGAGGCTGAGGCAGAAGAATTGCTTGAACCTGGGAGGTGGAGGTTGCAGTGAGCAGAGATTTCATCATTGTGCTCCAGCCTGGGAGACAGACCAAGACTTCGTTTTTTGTTTTTTTGTGTGTGTGTGTGTGTTTTTTTTTAAAGTCATATGATGCTATAGGGTCATATAACTTCACTAAGTTGACTGGGCAAAATCCCAGGAAGAATGGCAGGTAGAACCACCAACAGGAAAGATCTTCTCTTTGTGGAAAGAAGCAAAAAGACACAGATTGTACCTGGGACCATGGTCTCATATTCATGCCTAAAATTTCTCCATAGCTCCAAAGGGAAGGACTGATTATCTTACCAAATGGAGCAGGTTACTGGAGAGTCTGTATTTCTAGGCAGGCTTGCAGATGGTCACATATGGGGTGCTTGAGTCACTAGCTGACCCCATTCATTGGCCCTGCTGAAACTAGAGATACTACCACCATTTCCTAAGCAAGCAGGACTTAGCTCTGTTCATAAAAACATGTGTGCAAAGAAGAAAGTATGCATGCATCCTTCCTGTTAGAAATGGACTAAGGTTATATAATAACAACGCCACCAGCAGCAAAACTAAATGACAAGTTTTAGAAGGAGTCATTGCATGATTCCTGCTCCTCCCGCATCCCTGCAGGAGAGAGTTCTTTTATATTTACATTGCAGATTAGGAAACGGAGGTTCAGAGAGGCAGTTGACTATGTTTAAAAGCTTGAAATCCAGAGACGGAATAGTGGATTCCTGCCACAGATAACATGCTAACTGTGTGTACCTGAATAATTAAGTTATTCTTTTTACTCATTTATAAAATGATGATAATAGTATTTGTCTCAGAAGATTTGTATGAGGGTTAAATAAGTAGTAGGTATAAACAATATTAAGCAAACTCTGCCTAACATATGGTAAGCACTCAATGTGTGTTTGGCAGTCTAATGTTGTTACGTTGTTATTAACAGTGGTATTATTGTTATTAGCATTATGTAACTTGCAGAATGTCACACAGCTAGCAGGAGGCAGATTTCAAATCTAGAGCTGTCTGATAGCAAAACCCAGATTCTTGGTACTGTACAACTACCTGACGTAACAAAAAACTCTTCAGGTTGAATTCTAGGATTGTAATGACGTATGCAAAATGTCTGTGTGGTTTTCTGGAAGCCCCCTGAATTGAGTAGTTCAGTGATCCCAATTACTGCTATCGGCACTGGCTAGTAAATACTAAAAGCCTGTAACCTTGTCCTAAAACATATCTGATGATGTTATTCTACCTAGTGTAACATCCAAATGCAACAGCAGTAACAAAAACCTGCTACTTGTTGATTGGTTTATATTTGCTTTTTAACTAGTCAGTGCTAGGTAAAACTTTCCTATCAAGATAGCAAGAAGAGT